TGTCTAAGAAATTTTGCTTCTTGGACGGCATTTGCTAAAGCGATGTATTCGGCTTCGCATGTAGACAATGCAACCGTTGGTTGCTTACGACTCTTCCAAGATATAAGGGGGCCGGTCTCACATAACTGGCAGTTATAACCTGTTATACTGCGTCTATCTCCGACCGATGCGCCCCAATCCGAATCACAATACCCATTTAACTTTAATGGTTTCTCTGACTTTCGAAACACTAAACCTTGTTCAGATGTACCCTTTAAGTATCCTAAGACATGTTTAGCCATAACAAGGCCCTCCCTACTTGGCTTAGCCATTTTTTGTGATAATTTTGTCACAATGAAACATAAATCAGGTCTGGTTCCTGTCATTACATAGATCAAGCTGCCTACGATTGCTCTATACTCATGTGGGTCGTCTAGCTCGGATGACTCTTCATTTGTTGACCGCTTATCGATTCCTAAAATACATGGTGTCGGTTTGGGTTTGCACTCATCCATCCCAAATTTTACTAAAACTTTCTCGATATATCGAGTTTGATTCATTTCGATACATGCTTCGTCGCATTTAAACTGAGTCCCTAACAACCATGCCAGCTTGCCGAGGTCTTTCATCTTAAACCTGTTACTCAGTGACTCTTTAACACTTGTCAACAACTCTAGGTCAGTGGCTGCTATTATTATGTCATCAACCCAAACAATTATTATTATGCACCTTTTAGCATCGATTTCTCGCACATATACACATGCATCAGCGTGTGATTGAACGAATTTCTCATTTTCCAGGTATTCATGCAACATGTTGTTCCAATTCCTCCCACTTTGTTTTAGCCCATACGAAGACTTATTTAATTTGCACACTAAATTTTCTCCATTTTCGCCGCGCTTCTCAAAACCTTCTGGTTGTTCGATATAAATTTCACAATCAATTGGCGCATTTAAATATGCAGTCCTAACGTCCATTTGATGAATGGTCATGTCATTTTGAACAGCGCGTTGTATCAAGGTTCGGATTGAGCTCATGCGTGCAGTGGGTGAGAAGGTTTCGTGATAATCAATCTCTGCAACTTGAGAGTAACCTTTAGCTACATATCGCGCCTTATGAGTTTTATCACCGTTTTGATCAGTTTTAATTGCATAAACCCATTTTCCTCCCACTATCTGACGGTCGCTTGGGGTTGGGACTAATTCATATGTATTATTATCTTCCAATGCACTATAAGCTCATCATGCATAGCTTTTTGCCATTTACTAGCCTCGGGCGATTTTACCGCCTGCTGGTAATTCACTGGAATTTCAGGCACGTTTACTATCTTGTAGCAATAATCTACAGAGTAACTTACGTCATCTACAACATACTCGCTTAAATAACTTGGCTTATTCCTAGCTCGTGTCGGGTACCTTGCTTGGTTTTCATTGCTACTTTCTCCCACTGTTTCCTTTACCGGTTCATGCACTGTGGTTTCCTCTTTATCTATTTCAACTGGTTCCCTATGAAATTCCTCCTGGTCAGTGGTAACTTGATCAAGCTTATCCATGAATTTTACACATCTGACCTTTTCTAATTTGTTTGTTTCCGGGTAAAACACTAAGTACGCTGGACTTCCTCTGTCGTATCCCAGGAATATACCCTTTTGGCTGCGTGCATCTAATTTCTTTGCATTCTGTACATATGCATAACAAGTAGTGCCGAAAACATGCATATTACTCAGGTTTGGTTGCTTCCCCGTGAGGGCTTCATATGGAGTTTTTCCTAACCTTGCATTAAAACATCTGTTCCTAATATATGCCGATGCTAATACGGCATATGTCCACAACATTTTGGGTAATTTTGCTTCGATTAATAGGCATCTTGCCATGCTGAATAAACTTCTCCATGCGCGCTCTACCGTCCCGTTTTGGTGTGGGGAATAAGGAGCACTAGTCTCATGCTTAATGGCATTCTTACGCAACAAAGATTTGAAGAACTGACTTGTAAATTCAGTTCCATTGTCGCTCCTAATTCGTTTGACTTTACCAAAAGGAGCAATATCGGCTAGGAACTTTTCGCTTGCCTCAACAGTATCGCTTTTTGCTTTAAAAATACACCATGATAATACCCGTGTAATCGTCTACGAACGATAAAGCGTATTTATAACCACCGCGGCTTTCCGGCTCAATAGGTCCAGCTAAATCGCAATGCACAAATTCTAATGACCCCTTTGCCCTTTGGTCTGGCTCACGGTTTCGAAATTGACACATTTTGCCCTGTGTACAGATGTCACAATCAATATGCTTATCACCTTCGTCATCGGTGATTTTCATGCCCTTAACCACTTCTGAAGCTTGCGCACGTCATTTAAATTGCAGTGGCCTAGTATCTTATGCCATTCCATCAGAGATGAAGCAGTATTTTGTGATGAAGATATACTGTTCAAATAATATAAACGCCCTTTCTGCTCTATATTATACACTACACCTTCGGGGTCCTTATATTGACTTACCTGTTGGCCTAAATTAATGCAAGCCCCTCTATCTATTTCTGCAGGGACAGAGAATATGTTTTGCCCATAGGAGGGAATGTACAAAGCATTAATTAGCATGACATCTTGTAACTTACCTGAGGCGTCGTACAGCTTCACTTTGGCGTCTCCTTTACCAACAACTACGTTTGCCCTACTGCCGTCGGCTAGTTCGATTAAGTGGTTAGTGGGGTTAAACTTATCATCAAAACTAACGAACTTTGACTTATCATTAATTATGTGACTTGTTGCCCAAGTATCTACTAATAAATTCGTATCGACCTTACCTCCTGAACTTTTATCTCTATTTACATGATCTTTTACTGTAAATGCAAATGTTTGTGTCTCTGCTGCCGTGTTCGCACTGTCTTTCGTTTTTCTACAATCCTTCGTGTTGTGGGTCTTGGTCTTGCATCTGTTACACCATTTTTCACTTCTCGTCCAACAATCAGCGCTCTTGTGCCCTTTCTTGTCGCATTTAAAGCACTTCCCTTCGAATTTCTGCCCGCTATGCTTTTGGTTCACGTACATAACGTTGTCTTTCGCGTTTTCTCTTCTGTTGGTTTTCTCGCTCTCTTCGTAATTTCGCAAAGCGATCTTAAATTCAGCGAAAGTCATTTGTTTCTCCCGCTGTATTACGACCGTGGAGAATGTTTTGTAGCTTGCAGGCAAACCTTTGAGTGCCATCGCGACCAACAGCCCTTCGCTAATAACTTCCTCAGCGGCCTTCAGTGATGTCGCAGCCGTTTCTGCGCGTATAATGTAATCTGTACTCGTCTCATTTTCTGCCATCTTCAAGGAAGTCAGTTCCGTATATAAGGCAATGATTCTCGGCTTGCCCTTTCCCTGGTAATAGGGAACTTAAGCAAGTGACGTTCTTCGAGCCAACGGCAACGTCACGGTCGCAAAAAGCCTGGAAACTGCTATGCCGTTCCCCGCGAATTTCAAAGCATTTAAGCAAACTGCAGCGACGGGAGATGTCTTCGTTTCGAGAAATTAGAGAGTTTTGTTTAGTACTGTTTGAAGAAGGTGTTCTGACTGAAGAAGAGTTTATTTTATTGCACTTAGCGTACGATTCAAGGAATCCAGAGTTTCCAAGCAGCAATTATTCGCCTTTTTGTCTGGATGACATGAACGAAGCCGAATGTTTAGCAGAATTTAGAGTACAAAAGCGCGACCTTGTATTTCTTCAGAAAACTCTACAAATTCCCGATGTAATTAAATGCCCACAAAGAACAACCTGTTCTGGACTTGAAGGACTGTGTATGCTCTTGAACCGCCTCGCATATCCATGTCGATACTCCGATATGATTCAACGCTTTGGCCGATCGGTTCCGGAGATGTGCATGATATCAAATTTGGTTACTGATTTTATATACGATAATCACGGACATAGAGTAAATCAATGGAACCCACACGTTCTAAGTCCTCAAAATCTTCAGATGTATGCAGAAGCCATTCACGAGAAAGGGGCCCCGCTAGAAAATTGTTTTGGCTTCATAGACGGAACTGTGAGACCAATTTGTCGACCTGACAAACATCAGCGAGAAGTTTACAACGGTCACAAAAGAGTTCATTCCTTGAAGTTTCAGTGCGTTGCATTACCAAACGGAATTATTGGTCATATATTTGGTCCTGTTGGTAAGTTAATTTCTTTAAACATTTTTGCATAGCAAACACGTTTTTAAGAATTTTACAGATTTTCCAGATCTGAATATTTCGAATTTTTTAGAAGGCAAGAAACACGACGCAGGGATGCTCGCCCAATCAAATTTCTTACAACAACTAGAAGAGAACGCTTTTTCTCCAGATGGAACTCCGATGTGTGTTTATGGAGACCCCGCTTACCCTCTTAGAGTTCATCTGCAAGCTCCGTTTCGTAATGGTGATATCACAGAAAGAATGAAGGAATTCAATACAAAAATGAGCGCTGTTAGAGTTTCTGTTGAATGGTTGTTCGGAGACGTGATAAATACATTTCGCTTCATGGATTTTAAGAAAAATCTAAAAATAGGCATGAGCAGTGTGGGAAAATCTTACATTGTTTGTGCGTTATTGAGAAATGCACTCACATGTTTGTATAGAAATAACACATCTGAGTTTTTTAATATTGATCCCCCAAGTTTAGAAAGATATTTTGCGTGAGGACAAAACATATCATCAGACATAGAAAGATTAATATCTTTTTTTTTATAAACAATGCAAGTGGCATTATGCCCATGAGTAATAAGTAAAGCAATGTAAATATAATTGTCAACCTTCATGATAAAATAAATTGACATATGTAACTGATTCAGAGATCAAGCAATGGGCAATGGGCTGTTTCAGAGATCAAGCCGAGTGGCATTCTGTGCATTCGATGATAAACTAATTTTTTTTAAAATCTTTGCTTGAAAATTGTCTTCAATCAATAGAACTATATTCTAAAACAATTACAGTAAAGCAACTCAACGATATAAGTATAAAAACTCATGTGTGTATATACTACAGACATATCGGGAAATAGAGCTTCTTACAATTTCTCCATAAACTTTTGCATTGTTGACAAAAATGCCATCGACATTTGCTGCTGTTGCTGAAGCACCAGTGCTTGGCTTTCCATCATTTTTTTGTGTTGATCTTGCATCATTCGCATCATTTCTAACTGTTGTTCTCCTGTTTGTGATACCGATTGCTTTTGGATTTCCTGCTCGTTCTTTTTTAGCGCTATTTCCTCTCGACGAAGTTCGCTGTCTGTGCTCGATTTTTGTTTAAGGTATTCGATCAGTTCGCTGCTTCCCCTACGTGTTTTTTTTGGTCTAGAATCCTCATCCTCAGTCGTGCCGCGTTTCCTCGTTTCTCCCATACGCTCTAAAGCCTTCATTCTGACGTCTTCCGCATTTTCTCTTTCTTTTTGTTTACGAGCTGTGTCGACATCAACAAAACTGTCCTCTTTAGCACACAGCTCTTCGATCATACTTTCTCTCTCAGTAAGGTCATCGACATCAATACCACTGGCAGCTTCCTCGTCCCTGGTTTTCTTTTTGTGTTTAGTCTTTAACAGGTTCCATCGGTCCCGCACACTTCTTTTATCTTTCAATCCAAATACAGGGTTTTCGATTCGGTTTAGATTTTCAACGATGGAATCCCAGACTACGCCTCTGTTAGGACTCCCCTTCTTGTAAAGAAAAAGATCACTAACCATCATTTCTCTCATTAACAATAAATCGTGGTCTTCTGTCCACTCCATTGGCTTTGGTTTCGAACTTGCAGGCTTAGTTGCCATTTGTAGACGAATTTTATAGCTTGTTTGCGCCACGTTTTAGAGACAACGGCAAATTAGCCCATTACAGGTTGGCGCCGAGTCGCGACGGCAACAACTAAACTCAAAAAATATTCACCGGAAGTGAAACTGACTTCCGGTAGCCGTCGCCGCGTTCAAAAACGTCAGTGCTTAAGTTCCCTAATGTTCTCTAAGAACGCCAAGGGCTCGTCTACCATTATCTTTCGCTTCTCTTATTATAAGAGACAGACTTCTATCATCCAGACACTGGACGAGCTCGGCGAATGCATCTGCATTCTTTGTCGCATCTAGTTCTTCCTCATCTGCAGGAGGGACGAATATTTGGTAAAGCTTCTGGAGTCTCATGTACCCCAAAATCTTTACTTCCCATAACTCATATTTGCTTTCGTCTCCATCGAAGATTAGCCCTTTCCTGGGCCCATAACCTGTTAAGTTTCGTAATGTTGCCATCTCTCTATCTTGAGTCAGAAGCACAACATACAACGTTTGGAAGCTTTTTCATCTAATGTATTTGTTACAGAATCACTCGTATTTATATGGTTACAGCAATTTGGATTAATCTATCTTTACACAGTTATTTTACTATAAATGGAATACAGTTTTCATAAGAAAATGAATATATACTTTTATGGTATGGTATGTGACTGTTCAGTCTGAATATCCCTTTTTGGTTACATAGTTTTCTCTATACTTATTTATATATATATATATATATATATATATATATATATATATATATATATATATATATATATATATATATATATATATATATATATATATATATATATATATTTATATCTGAATCTATTTTCGATTACTGGGGTCTTATTTTTGGTTAGTCTATATGGTTAGTCTTTTTTACGTTAATCATCACTAGTCTATTTTTGTTTAATTGGATATATGAGCACATACTTTAACAATTTATCATGAATAATATGCTAAATATGATCAAGATCATAATAAAAATGATGGTTGCCATAGTAACCATCATTTATCATGAATAAAATGCTAAATATGATCAAGACCATTATAATGAAAATTATGGTTGCCATGGCAACCATTATTTATCATGAATAATATGCTAAATATGATCAAGATCATCCTAATGAAAAGCATGGTTGCCATCGTAACCATCATTTATTATGATTGATATGTTAATTTTGATCACTATCATCAAAATGATGATAATGGTTACCATAGTAACCATCATTTATCTTAAATAATATGCTAAATATGATCAAGATCATCATAATGAAAATTATGGTTGCCAAGGTAACCATAATTTATCATGAATAATATTCTAAATATGATCAAGATCATCCTAATGAAAACTATGGTTGCAATTGCAACCATCATTTATTATGATTAATATGTTAGTTTTGATCATTATCATCAAAATGATGATAATTGTTACAATGGTAACCACCATTTATCATAAATAATATGCTAAAAATGATCAAGATCATCATAATGAAAATTATAGTTGCCATGATAACCATCATTTATCATGGATAATATGCTAAATATGATCAAGATCATCATAATAAAATTATTGTTGCCATAGTAACCATCATTTATTATGATTGATCTGTTAATTTTGATCATTATCATCAAAATGATGATAATGGTTGCCATAGCAACCATCATTTATCATGAATAATATGCCAAATATGATCAAGATCATCATAATGATCATCATAGCTCCAATTGCAACCATAATTTTTTACGATTGATATGTTAATTTTGATCATTATCATCAAAATGATGATAATGGTTGCAATGGCAACCATCGTTTATCATGAATAATATGCTAAATATGATCATTATCATTAAAATGATGATAATGGTTACCATGGTAACCATCTTTATCGTGAATAATATTCTAAATATGATCAAGATCATCATAATGAAAATTATGGTTGCTATTGTAACCATCATTTATCATGAATAATATGCTAAATATGATCAAGATCATCATAATGATCATCATGGTTGCAATTGCAACCATCATTTATCATGAATAATATGCTAAATATGATTAAGATCATCATAATGAAAATTATGGTTACCATGGTAACCATCATTTATCATGAATAATATGCTAAATATGATCAAGATCATCATAATGAAAATTATGGTGGCTATGGTAACCATCATTTATCATGGATAATATGCTAAATATGATCAAGATCATCATAATGATCATCATGGTGGCAATTGCAACCATAATTTATAATGATTGATATGTTAATTTAATCATTATCATCAAAATGATGATAATAGTTAGCATAGTAACCATCATTTATCATGAATAATATGCTAAATATGATCAAGATCATCATAATAAAAATTATGGTGGCCATAGTAACCATCATTTATCATGGATAATATGCTAAATATAATCAAGATAATCATAATGATCATCATGGTTGCAATTGCAACAATAATTTATTATGATTGATATGTTAATTTTGATCATTATCATCAAAATGATGATAATAGTTACCATGGCAACCATCATTTATCATGAATAATATGCTATATATGATCAAGATCATCATAATGAAAATTATGGTTGCCATGGTAACCATCATTTATCATGGATAATATGCTAAATATGATCAAGATCATCATAATGATCATCATAGTTGCCATAGCAACCATCATTTATCGTGAATAATATGCTATATATGATCAAGATCATCATAATGAAAATCATGGTTTTCATGGTAACCATCATTTATCATGGATAATATGCTAAATATGATCAAGATCATCATAATGATCATCATGGTTGCCATTGCAACCATAATTTATTATGATTGATATGTTAATTTTGATCATTATCATCAAAATGATGATAATGGTTACCATAGTAACCATTTTTTATCTTGAATAATATGCTAAATATGATCAAGATCATCATGCTGAAAATTATAGTTGCCATGGTAACCATAATTTATCATGAATAATATGCTAAATATGATCAAAATCATCATAATGATCATCATAGTTGCAATGGCAACCATAATTTAATATGATTCATATGTTAATTTTGATCATTATTACCAAAATTATGATAATGGTTACCATGGTAACCATCATTTATCGTGAATATTATGCTAAATATGATCAAGACCATCTTAATGAAAATTATGGTTGCCAAGTTAACCATCATTTATCATGAATAATATGCTAAATATGATCAAGATCATCATAATGAAAACTATGGTTGCAATTGCAACCCTCATTTATTATGAATAATATGTTACTTTTGATCATTATCATCAAAATGATAATAATGGTTGCCATAGCAACCATCATTTATCATGAATAATATGCTAAATTTGATCAAGATAATCATAATGATCATCATAGCTCCAATTGCAACCAGAATTTATTATGATTGATATGTTAATTTTGATCATTATCATCAAAATGATGATAATGGTTACCATAGTAACCATCATTTATCATGAATAATATGCTAAATATGATCAAGATAATCATAATGATCATCATAGCTCCAATTGCAACAATAATTTATTATGATTGATATGTTAATTTTGATCATTATCATCAAAATGATGATAATGGTTGCCATGGCAACTATCGTTTATCATGAATAATATGCTAAATATTATCAAGATCATCATAATGAAAATTATGGTTGCCACGGAAACCATCTTTTATCATGAATAATATGCTAAATATGATCAAGATCATCATAATGAAAATTATGGTTGCCATGGCAACCATCATTTATCATAAATAATATGGTAAATATGATCCAGATCATCATAATGAAAATTATTGTTACCATGGTAACTATCATTTATCATGAATAATATGCTAAATATGATCAAGATCATTATAATGAAAATTATGGTGGCCATGGTAACCATCATTTATCATTGATAATATGCTAAATATGATCAAGATCATCATAATGATCATCATGGTTGCAATTGCAACCATAATTTATTATGATTGATATGTTAATTTTGATCATTATCATCAAAATGATGATAATGGTTACCATAGTAACCATCATTTATCAATAATAATTTGCTAAATCAACCTCGTTCCTAGGGCCTTTATTGAAAACGCGGAGGGGGGGGAGAAGAGAAGAAGGCCCTGGCACCGGCTGATTCTAAAACCACGAATCGTGGTTTTAAATCGATACTTAAATATTCCAAGATGGCCGACCCTTCGAAGTGTTTACACCACTTACACGTGCTGCAGCGACTTCATAATGCTTTAAAAATGGGAGGTTTCCCATCGTTTGTCTTAAAGCCGTTACAGAATAAATGTTTTGAGCACATACTAAACGGATTTACGTCGTTGCTGTTTTACCAACTGGCTTTGGCAAATCTCTTCTGTTTCAACTTCTGCCAAATTTCTTGCTGACCAAAGCTGACAAAAATATCGTTATTGTTGTCTGTCCTTTAAACGCAATCATCGAGGACCAGTTAAAGGTTGCTAAGAACATCGGTATTGAGGCAGAAGTTCTCCAGTAGTAGCGGAAAGCTTGTTTAAATCGGATGAAATGAATGCAGAAAGTGATGATGTAGGTGTACTTTTAAGCGACAAGATGTTAAATGGAGATGTTCAACTTCTTTTTACCCACCCGGAAGCCTTATTAGGTGAGAAAGGAAGAAATCTAATGAAAAGTACAGTGTTTCAAAGAAATGTTGTGGCGTGTGTTGTAGATGAAGCACATTGCGTGGAAATGTGGTGAGTGTTATTGGTATATTCATATAAATTTAAAGTTGTTCATGCATAGCACATAGTACAGTGGAAGAATGTATTGGTATTAGTATTATTATTGGAAATCATTCGATGGCGCATACTATTAATCCCTAATTATTGTACAAGCAATTGCTTATTATTAGCATGATAAAATCGTAACAATTTTGGAACTGCTATGTTGAGATCATTTCATTTGGGACATAATTTTCAATCCTAGATTTTCGTATGTACAATATTTTGTACTTTTGCCAGTATTTTGTTTACCTTTTTAATTCTGGCTTTTTTGTT